CACGGTACTGTCTCATGGCTTCCACGGTACTGTCTCATGGCTTCCACAGTACTGTGGAAAGTAACGTCGGGGAGATTTCTTACATTTCCTTTACTGAAGAACTATAAAGACCCAGGTTCAGAGTCTTTTGAAAACATAATTTATTTTTATTTTAAGTACATTGGTATTTTGCCTGCATGTGTGTCTGTAAGGGTGTTGGATCTCCTGGAAGTAGAGCTGTGAGCTGACACACGGGTGCTGGGAACTGGATCCAGGTCCTCAAGAAGAGCAGCCAGTGTACTCTTATTTGCTGAGCAAACTCTCCAGTTCCCAGATTTAGATTTTTTTTAATGTCACAGATTGTTCTTTTTCATATTACACTAGAAGTACCATTTTTTTTCATTTTATAATTTACCTGAATTTCTAAAAATCTCTATTATCTCAGGTAATACTCATCATATTTAAGAAGATATTTAAAAAATACCTTCAGACCAATTAAGGAGAGAAACAAACTCTGGATACCCTTGGTGAGCTCCTCAACAAGATGGCTGTAGCAGCTCTCCAGTGGTCCGTTTATTAGTTCCAGGACCTATAAAAGTTAAAGCAGTATCATGTTTGTGCTGTTACTAAATCTAAACAGTGTTCCACATAAAAGGCCTCATACTTTGTAAAATCTCTGGAAGCCTCAAACTCCTCCAAAGCCAAAACAAAACCAAATCACAAAAACCTAAAGTAGCAAGAATTAACGAATGTTCTATGACACTGATATAGAACAATGTCTAAAATATAAACGTATTTGAACTAGTCTTTCTAAGTCTTACTCAGCAGGAGGATGTGTCGTGTAAGGAACACAGGCAGTTATGTCGTGTAAGGAACACAGGCAGTTATGTCGTGTAAGGAACACAGGCAGTTATGTCGTGTAAGGAACACTGGCAGTTAGTTTTTAAGCGATGGTCTCATGTGAGTGTGGTCCAGCCGGGCCTTACCTGCTGCTTGTCTTTCTCTTGCAGCAGAAGGATGCTCTCCCCAGCAGTGTCTATCCCCGCACGGCCAGCCCTGCCAATCATCTGCTTGTACTGATTCCTCTTTAAGAACGAATTAGCCACGTAGGGAGCTCTTAAGATGACTCTGTGGAAGGTATAAATTAAAAGTGATCCTTTACATCAGCAACTACTTTTTAAACCCATTTCCATTTTATCCATTTTATTAAGCATAATGACATGTTAACTTTAAGTAAAATTGCACTTACACTGGGTCTTTGATGTCCTAGGTGCTTACATATATTACCTGTAATTCTCACAAAATGCTCAGCAATATCCTTATCTTCCTTTCTTATGAAGAAATTCGCTGAAGTCCAGTGGTGGCTTACCTTAAACAGCAAGTGAGTAAATGCCTCTCTGTGCAGCTGAGAGGCCTGTGAGCAGTGCACAGCAGTGCTCTCCAAAGCACCGTGGTTTTATACCCCGGAACTGAAAGATTTGGCCTCGTACCACCATATGCTGCCGCATGCTACTCATTTATGAACTGATACTATCTTTAACTATAAGGCACTGCAGATTTCAACTGGCTTTAGTGTACAAAACATCAATTTCAATCTTGCTCGGGTATAAACAAATCTGTAGTCAGCTTTCCTCTTGAAAGAGAATTGACAGCACTTGGGAGGCAGAGGCAGGCGGATTTCTGAGTTCAAGGCCAGCCTGGTCTACAGAGGGAGTTCCAGGACAGCCAGGGCTACACAGAGAAATCCTGTCTCGAAAAACCAAAAAAAAAAAAAGAAAGAAAGAAAGAAAGAACGAGACTTGAAGAATCTATCATTTGTCTACATTATCAACTCCTTCATTTATAAATATCAACGGACTATGTAGGTTGCTGAAAGTTGAAGAAAACAAAATGAAGGAAAAGTAAGACAACAGAGAAAAGTGACAACGTACAACACATACAGTAAACTCCAGAGGGAATCATATCCACTGTTGTCAAGCATACTTCTACAAGAAGTATAATGAACAGCCAGTGCTCTTAACCACTGAGCCATCTTTCCAGCCCAGAATTCTTGAAAATTTAAAATGCATTTAAAATTTAAACAACAATAAACAACTAACATAAGAGTAAAAAGGTAGCTTTTTCTGTCCCGATACCCCACCCGTGCGCTGTCCTGACATCCGGAACACGCACATCCCACCGGCGCGCTGCCCGGACATCTCACATGCACATCCCACCCGCATGCTGTCCCTACATCCCACGTGTACTGTTGCCATTGTATTCATCCCACGTCCTTTTACCCCATCCTACTTCACTAATCTCCTACTTCTGCCTCTTTAAAAGAAAATGGATTTGGTGGGTAGTGGTACTGGGGCTTGAACCTAGGACTTTCTAGGTGTTAGGCAAGTAGTCTGCACTGTACTGTCCTCCAGTCCACTAAAAACTTGAATTTCATATGGAAAGTAAAATTGGAGAAGAAAAGAGTTGATAGTTGTAACCACATGTCTTTACCCCAGGCTAGCCCAAGTCACAAGAGAAGAGAATGAAGCTGATGGAAGGATGGGATACAGAAATGACCAGCAACAGCTCTAAGACAGAGAAACCATAGAGCTCAAGATGGAGCCTCTGACCATGAGCCACGCTCTAACAAGGGACAAGTAAACTGGGATTGCAGGGACTATATGACTGGGCTGTGTGGGCTCCAGTTTGGCTTGGAAACTCATTTATTTGATGTGACATTCAACAAGCTATTTATTTGTTTGTTTATTTAGATTCTTTTGAGACAATGTTTCACTGTGTAGCCCTGGATGTCCTGGAACTTACTCTGTAGACTAGGCTGGCCTTGATCTCAGAGATCTGCTTGTCTCTGCCTCCTGAGTGCTGGGAAAGTTAATTAATTACTTTATAGATTTCAATTGCAGAAAATATTGATCATAAATCGCAAGAACTGACTAAATAAATGCATATTAAGCAGTTAGGTGCCAGGTGTGGGAGACGGCCATGTGGGAAGAATCATAATAAACACCAGTCATGATAAACGCCATTATTCACCACGAAGAAAATGGAAGGTTACAAAGGAAAGTGGAAAGCTGCTGGAGGAGCTACCTCATGGGCAAAGGCACTGGCCGCCAAGGCTGACAACCTAACTTCTATCCCCAGGACCCTCAAGGTGGACAGAGAAAACCAACAGACTCCTGAATCCCGAAGTTCACCTCCGACCTCCACAATCACACTGTGACTTGCACACTCCTCTATGTGACGCTATGAATATTAAAACAAAAAACAAAAAAAGAGCTTTGGAGAGAAGAGAACTACAGGCCCACACAGGCCCAAAGCTGGTTCTGTGATAGGAATGGAGGTGCAGGCTTCAAGCCAGCAGCTGGAGGCAGGTGCAGGTGGACTTCTGTTTAAGGCAGGTCTACACAGTTCCGACCAGCCAGGGCTACATAGTGTGACCCTGTCTGTAAATAGATATATCCATGAATATGGGGGGGACACCATAATTAATGACTGACACCGAGACGCAAGACTGTATACCTAGCAGAAAAACATTGTTTAATGTTCATAAACGTTTTATGAAAATAAATTATTTACTAGAATCGCCCCCCCCCCCAAGTAATGAGTTATAAAGAGAAGTCAATTATAGTTTCCCACTGTTTGGTAATATCTGAAAAGGTGACGGAGGGTCTGCCCGTATAGAGTTTGTGGTGGTTGGATATGCTCGGGCCCATGGGGAGTGGCACGATTAGGAGGTTGTGGCCATGTTGGAGGAGGTCCATCACTGTGGGGGCGGGCTTTGAGGTCTCATAGAGCTCAAGCTCCGCCCAGTGCAGAAGAGAGTCTCCTCCTGGCTGCCTTCCGCTCTAGGCTCTAGATATAGATCCTGCCTGCATGCTGCCATGCTCCCAGCATGATGATAATGGACTGAACCTCTGAAGCTGTAAGCCAGCCGCAATTAAATGTTTTCCTTTATAACAGTTCCCTTGGTTATGGTGTCTCTTCACAGCAATGAAAACCTAACTAAAACAAAGCCATTCTATTCATTTCAGGTGTCAGTGATGCAGGCCTTGAATCTCAGCACCGCGGAGGCGGGGCGGGGCGGGGCGGAGGCGGGGCGGGGCGGGGGCGGGGCGGGGGCGGAGGCGGAGGCGGAGGCGGAGGCGGAGGACTCTCTTAAGTTCCAGAACAGCCAGTGCTACACAGAGAAACCCTGTCTCAAACAAAAAGAAACAAACAAACAGGATTGCACTCTCAGATGGCTTTAATCAGCCCCTGTGAACTGGACACAAGTCAAGCAAGGTTCTAGACACTGAACTCCATCCCAGATCGGCTTTCCAAATCAGTTCGCTAATGTCTCAAGGCAATCTATTACGTGAACAACTTAGGTCTGTCAAACCTTCCCAGAAGTAGAGCAGATCCTGACACCCCAGGAGCCATGCCTCTAATTCCAGGACTCTGTCCAGTTGGACCCAGTCCCATAAGCTGAAGACACAGACAACCAAACACAGAAGAAAGAGGGTACAAAAGGGATCTAATGACAGGAAATGTGGTTTTCATTAAAATGTTAAAGAAAGAAACCAATCAACTCGGCAGAGGAGAGCTTACCTCCGTGCGGGCAGATTGACCCCGGCTGCCAGGGTGGACGTGCAGGTGAAGAGACATAGCACACCTGTGGCGTAGGCCTCTTCCAGAAGCTTCCGCTCATCACAAGTTAAACCACTGTGGTGATAGGCAACACCGAAAGGGATAGTGCGTTTCAGGACAGGACACACTTTACCATGGCCGACATTCCTCAAGTTTTTAATCACTTCGCACTTTTCTTTCTCTCTGTGGTTTAAATAATCCCTAGGAAAAAAGATCCATTGGACACATCAGCCTGGGACTGGAGTAATGGCTCAGCAGTTAAGAACACTGACTGCTTTTCCAGAGGATGGGGGCTCAGTTCCCAGCACTCCCCTGGCATCTCACAACAATCTATAACTCCAGTTTCAGGGGATCCAATGTCTTTTTGTGACCTCTGAAGGCACCAGGCATGCATATGGTGCATGTGTGTGTATGCAAAGCACCCATACACATGCAATATATACATCTTTAAAAGGAAGAACTATGAGCCCTTGAGTTATAGTTGGGAAGTGCTTACCATTGTTCTTTAATACTTCATGTTAATGTTATGTTATATATTACTTTTATCAGTATAAGTACACAAAATGTTCTTTGTGTGTATTTTGTATGACCATGCATGTGCCTGTATCTGTGTACTGGGTGTAGACATGTCTGTACAGAGGCCAATCATTGAAATTCAACTCCGAGATGGTTCTCTAGAGATTGTTATCATTCTACCAGGCAGTAAATTTAATCCTAATTTAGACCATTCTATGCCAGCAGGATTGGGAGGGAGGGCGGAGAACCACCAGATTAAAAACTCCCATTGGTAGTCTATGACTACTGAAAGCCTTGGGTAAGGGGCCAAACAAGGGTGTAAAAACTTAAAAACCCACATACAGCCCGGGCGGTGGTGGCGCACGCCTTTAATCCCAGCACTTGGGAGGCAGAGGCAGGCGGATTTCTGAGTTTGAAAGTTCAAGGCTAGCCTGGTCTACAGAGTGAGTTCCAGGACAGCCAGGGCTACACAGAGAAACTCTATCTCGAAAAAAAACCAAAACAAACAAACAAATAAAAACCCACATACAACAAATAGGCACAGAAAACAGAAAATTATCAGCACAGACCCTTTCCTAGTGGACATAGTAGAGTTCATATCCAAAGAGCTCAACTCTCAAATTCTGTCTAATGCCCCGACAAAGAAAGAAAACGGGAAGTGTTAAAGAGAAGGCTCAGCTGCAGCCATGGCCGGCCTCAGAGCTAAGACAGTGGTTACCCTGCCTTGCTGTCTGCAGCCTGCCCGGCCCACTCCCAGGCATGCTGACTGGTCTAAGATGCAACTGAACCCTGGGTCACTGCTCAGCCAAAGCGTCAGACCTAAGCTTCTGTGGTGGTCACTCTCTTGCAACTCTACAATTCTCTACTTTAGTGTGAATTTCAGTTAAGCTTTTTTCAAAGTCAGTTCCTTCAGAACCTATAAAACAATATGATGCTCTGTTAAGAAGATAATAGTCAGTCAACAAACAGAATGTATTATTCAGTCTATAATAGAAATGAGTTTTTAAAAAAGATGAACATACTTGCTTAAAAATTTGCACAACATTTCTGCTACATTTTCACAGTTCTTCTTACTGGGACAAAAAACCAGGCAGGAGTAGTTAGGAATAACTTCTGTCACCAATGCTACCAAGTGGTCGGGATCCATTTTCTTCAGGGCATCAGAGTACTGCAAAACAAAGAGCCACGCAATGCAACCAGGGAAGCGTGACTTGAACGACACGTAAACCGTCACCAGTTTTAAACGCTGCCGTTATCCATTACTAAAACCAGAGACGGCGGCAGCTGTACTGAACCTCAAATGATCAATTTTCTTCATAGCTTATTCATTAGAGATTTGGTTTGGGGGCACATTTAGTCCAAAAAGAGGATTAAATGACTAAGAATCAAGAAAATGAAAGCAGCCCTAGTTATCAGTAGCTATTTTATGCCCACCTCTGTCCGAGCAGAACAACAAGCCAAAGAGAGAGGAGGATTGCGGTTACCAACAGTGAAAGGACCGCGTAAGGAACGACATCCTGTCCTGTTCAGAACCATATTTCCTAACATTGTCACAAGTGAAACAACTACCGTCAATTATGACAGTTTGGAACACTGCCGGGAGGATGTGCAATGGAAGGGCAGTCATTTAAATCTCCTCTGTTCCTGTTACTGACTGAAAACCAACATGTGGATTTAGAATACACTTCATGTAATCCTAAAGCTGGGATAAAACCGCTTTCCTTTTAAATATCCTTGATGCTGACTGGAAGCCATTAGCATGCAGATATGAACACTTCTATACAGTAACGTGTCAGTTACAGACTATGCACTATGCTCTTGTTGTTGCTGGATGAATGACGTATCTACAGGATATGTCTCCAGACTTTCATGGTTCAGGAGCTGGCTCATTAGTCAGTGCAAACAACCTAATAAGTACTTCCTCCAAATTCAGTAGCCATTTGAGTAAGAAGCACTTCCTTACTAACAAAAGGTCACTAGCAGGATGTGTGTACAATGTGGTACTGTCTTCCTAACTTTAGAGTGGGATTGCACACAATCCTGTTCTAACAGTTTTTATACAGTACTGTACCCAGAAGCTATAAAACACCAGACTTTACAAAGATATGGCAGAGGAAAGAATCCAGTATAATCTGACGCTAAAACTGAACTAGGGACTAGGTGTAGCTCAGTGGTGTGTGCCATGTATGGTGTAGCTCAGTGGTGTGTGCCTTGTATGGTGTAGCTCAGTGGTGTGTGCCTTGTATATAGGTCCTGGCTTGATCTCTAGTACTGCAAACAAAACAAAGAGGTAAGTAGCTGTATTCAGTCAGCAGCTTGTTGTCCATGACAGATCAGGCACTCCTCCCCTCAGACTTTCCCCCAAATACAAACCCCCTGGAGTCTGCTGCAGTGCCCCAGCACACCTAGGGATGGCAGCCTGGACTGAGGGGTTTCCATCGCACCTTATAATTCAGGAGCCGTGAAAAGGTCATGCCGCCTGCAGCCTGGCCATCTACTGCATAGATTGTGTCATTTACTTTCAGGAATTCTTTTAATTCAACCTGGAGTTAAAAGGAAACAGTCAGTTAATATACACTTTTTAGTCTGAAATTCTAGAAAATGTTTTAACACAGGGCAGCTCCACAGAGACCTCAGCTTTCTAGGATACCACAGACAGGCTTCAGCTGAACCACTCAGCTTCTTCCTTCCCCTTCCTCTCTTTTTCCTTCGAATAGAAATAGGACTTAGCATCGTGGAAAAGCTACTTTTGAGTTGGGTAGTATAGATTCCAAAGGAAGCTGGATGCTTTCATGTGTTATGAGCAGTAGGAACAGGGCTTCAGAGGTGGCTCCCTCAGAGGACACTCAGTTCTCAGCACCCACAACAGCTTACAACTGCCTATAACTCCTGCTCCAGCGGGCCAGATGCCCTTTGCTGGTCTCCTCAGGCACCACAGACACACGGCAGACACTCAGACACAACCACATAAATAGAAATTAAGTAAGTAGTTAAGAATATATGTAGGAACAGGTGGTAGTGCTATTTTCTCTTCTTTTGTATTATTTCTTAAGATCTACAACTTTCTGTTTAATCATCAGTTTTCATTTTAAATGCCACTTAAAGACTCGTGGACAGGAAGTTTGCAAACACCGATTTTCTTGTGGTGTGTGTGTGTGCACACAGATGCCAGTGCCTATGTATGTACAGGTGCTCACACTTGTGTGCACATGCATGAGATGAGAGGACACACCTCCAGTGTTACTCCTCAGGCACTCTCTGTCTTATTTTTAAGGCAAGTCTCACTTCCCTGAAGCTTGCCAAGGAGGCCAGGCTGGACCTCCTGTCTTAGCACTGGGATTGTAAGATACGCAAGCATGCCTGGGCTTTCTGTGTGGGCTCTGAGGACTGAACCAGGCACTCACGCTTGCAGGGCCAACACCTTATCAACTAGCTCTCCCCTGCCCTCTGTGACTCTCCCCTGCCCTCTGTCACTGAACTGGCTCTCCCCTGCCCTC